AAAGATTAACAGTCGAAGACGGACAGATAAAGAGGGGAAAGGAAGGATGAAGGGAATATCATAGGAGGAGAAGGAGACAGAGATGAATGGGATAGAGGGATGGAGAGGACGAGAGTGAGGCAAAAAAAAAAGGAATGGAGAAGAGAGATGAAGTGATGATGGTGTGAGCGAAAAAGAAAAATGTTAATCATCCTAGAAATTTAATCTCGCTCACTTGAGATCCTAATATGCAAAAAGGTAAGTAATATAGATTCATATTTTCAGACATTTGTTTTAGATTTCATAAAGAAGAAAACAGATTAAAGTCGAAATACAAAGACGAACTCATAATCCTGGTGATAGCCACGTCATCGCCCAGAAGAACAATAATTTATACATTCATTAGTCTGTGATGATATTAATGTTGACACTAATGGTGAGAGTATTTTATGCACCATTTAGGGACACCCTAAATGTCTATAATTTATGCCATTCGTATCCCATTAACGTTCTTCAAATATCGTTCTGTTGACGCCCCTAAATGCCCTTTGTTCGGATCCGTTAATTTCACTGGCGCCCTTGGCTTCGATTAGGTGTTATAACGACACTTAAGTTCCGTAGTCAAAGTCATTAACATTTCATACACGTTCTTAATGCCATTCATTTGCATCCAACACCAAAATATAATTTCAGAGGAATATTTTTTCTGGCCGTTTTTTCTTTTTTCTTTTTTCTCACGTCTTCTTTCTCTTCTTTTAATGGGATTTATTGTTTATCTATTTCAGTCGTTAATCAGACATTACCCGTTTTGTTTGTGTTATTTCTCATCAAATAGGCCTAAAATCCATTGAAGTATAAATTAATAAATTTAGGAATATGATGATAAAGTGTTAATAGTATTTGATAATAAGAACGATGATAATGCTGATGGAAATCATAATATACACATTTTTTAATTAGTGATATTGATTTAATTTTTAATGAATTTAATCAACTTAATTAGTGATATTAATAGAAATGATATTTGTATTGATATTAATAATGGTAATGGTAGTGATAGAAATTATCATTATGATGATATTGATAACAGTAATAATGGTAACGTAAGTGATGCAAGTAATAGGATATCTTCCTTCCTCCTCCTACTCGTCTCCCCCTCCTCCTCCTCTCCTCCCCCCTCCTTCTCTTCCTCCCCTCCTCTCTCCTCCCCCCTCCTCCCCTCTCCTCCTCCCTCCTCCTCCTCCTCCTCCTCCTCCTTCCTCTCTCTCCTCCTCCTCTCCCCTCTCCTCTCTCTCCCCCTCCTCCTCCCTCCTCCTCTTCCTCCTCCTCTCCCCTCTCCTCCTCTCCTCCTCTCCTCTCCCCCCTCCTCTTCTCCCCTTCCCTCTTCCTCCCCTCCTCCTCCTCTCCTCCTCCTCCTCCTCTCCCTCCTCTCTCTCCTCCTCCTCCTCCTCCTCCTCCTCCTCCTCTCTCCTCCTCCTCTCGCCAGACAAAGACACGGGGGCGTCGGGTCCCTTCAACAACTTCTACGCCGCCTGAAGGTGCCGCCCACCAGAGATGGCGAGAGAGGGGTGGCGCCTCCTGCTGCACAACACCGAAGGCAGCGTCGCCCTCAGGGTGGTGACGGAGGGCAAGTCTGTGTACCCGAAGTGGAATCCGGATATACAGGTCACCATGAAGAAGGTATGGGGGTGTCTGATGGAGGGAAGGGGAGGGGGGAAGAGGGAGAGGGAGGGAGGAAGAAGAAGGGGGAGGAGTGTTCGTGTTTTTTGTTTTTTATTTGTGTGTGTATGAGGGGGGGGGTATATACATGCGTCTATTATGGTATTCATTTGTGCATGAATGAAGTTCATGAAATACGTGGCATGATTGTATTGGGGTCTCTGCTCCGGTCCGTCTTGTGCCACGAGTTGTCTTTTATCAGATCTGTACGTATGTCCGTCTCCTCGTCCTTTCGTCTCAACTTATCTCCCTCACTCTCCTTCCCTCTCCTCTGCCTCTCTCTTCCTCCTCCAGCTCTCGTCATCCTCCCACCTCCTTCCTTCCCTCCTAACCTCTCTCTCCTTCCCTCCCCCTCCTTCCCTTCTCCTTCAACTTTTTCTCACATCACGTCTCTCCCACTCGACCTCTTTCCTTCCCTCCCATTCCTCCCCTCCCTCCCAAAATCCTCTCCAAATTCTACCTCCTCTCCCCCACTCTCCCTCCTCCCAAATTCGCACTTCCCTCCCTCTTTCTCCGTCCCAAATTTTCTGCACATCACCTTGCTCTCCTTCCCTCCCAGCCTCTCTCCTCTCCTTCCTCTCTCCTCCATCCTCTCTCCTCTCCCTCCTCTCCCTCATCTCTCCCTCTCTTTTCCTTCTCTCCTTCTCTCTCTCCTCTCTCTCTCTCTCCTCTCTCTCTCTCTCTCTCCCTCCTCTCTCTCTCTTATCCATCTCTCCCTCCCTCCTCCTCCCTCCCAACCGCTCTCACATCACCTCAACTCCCCCGCAGTTCAACACCTTGGACACCTGGACGAGCCCGTGCGAGAGGCGGACCGGGTACTCGGACCGGGACTGCGAGCTGGGCTGTTTCGAGAGGGCCTTTTCGGAGGGAGGAGGGTGCTGGCTGCCCTTCATGAGCCCGGGGAGTGCCGCCCCCTGCGCCTCCGCCGAAGAGTACAGCTTCAGTTTGGAATTCGTGGAGACGCTGCTCTATGGAGGGAATTGGGTGAGGTCCCTTGATGTAGTTTGGTCTTTGTTTTGCTTCGTGTGTCGTTGTTTATGTCTAAAGCAGCGACAATGCATAGTTTATTTGTTCTCTTTTGAGTGTGTTATACTAATAGCAGATAGTCAATGTATGGTAGTAAATGCAGTGGTGACAGGTGTGGTTGCAGTAATTAAAGTGGTATTAGTGATGTGGGTGGAGCCTTCAATATGAGCAGGTATCCTTAATAACAGCTTGGCGAGGATAAGTAATGACAGTATTAATAGTAGTAATACAAGTTGCAGTTATTTGTCGTTGCTATTGTTTCGCCATTGTTGAAATGGAGTAATAAAAGTAGTGGTAATAGGCGTTAATTCCCAAGATTATTATCAAAGTGACGTAACATGCAACCTTCATCAACATGGTAGTACTTCTGTTAATACCAAAGTTAATGATGATAGATAATAACTGCTAATGGCTCTCTTAACCACAATAAAATGCATCACCTGACCCAATCAAGAGAACAGTCAATGAGCCGTATTCATTCCGACAAATGTAGAAAAGGTATGAATGGGAATGAATATCTTCACAATACAAGAGATGAAAGATAGAGTAATGCACTGCCGTTTTAATATGGATAAATTTCTGACCAGGTTCGATTGTATCTTCGTCAAAAATCCATAAATCGAAACCGGCCAAACACACCTGTTGCATTGTGAAGATCTGTAGATTACAAACGGATGCACTTACAGAGAACCGTAAAACAAGCGAGGTCTTCCCCCTGACAGACAAGAGGCGGTTGCGAGTGCCCGAGCGCCTGTGATGACGTCACCTACGAGTCTTACAGCGATTCGAGGGAGATCGAAGCAGACACCACCAGAATCAGGATATTTTACAACGTAAGTCGAGCTGAAGTGAATACTGCGTTGTTACCGAGTCATTTTTATTTACCTTTCCTTTACTCTTTCATGAGGTTACGTGTTTTTTTTTTGGTCGCGTTGGTTAGTTTCTTCGTTGGTTAAACTCTAAGAAGTTATGAACAGAGTTTTATTGAACTTTTTACCAGAGGTGTTAGCCCAACTTCTGCCATTAAAGGTGGTGATCCGGATCATGATGCGGTTCCAGGATTTTTTTTATTGCATCCGTGACCCCTTTGCTCGGCGCTCTCACTCTCGAGGTATGCGCTCTCGGAGGTATGCGCTAGGTATGCGCTCTCTGCGTGTGCGCTCTCGGAGGTATGCGCTCTCGGAGGTATGCGCTCTCGGAGGTAGGAGGTGCGCTCTCGAGGTATGCGCTCGCGCTCTCAGGTACGCGCTCTCGGTGTCGGAGGTACGCGCTCTCGGAGGTACGCGCTCTCGGAGGTACGCGTCGGAGGTACGCGCTCTCGGAGGTATGCGCTCTCGGAGGTATGCGGAGGTGCGCTCTCGGAGGTACGCGCTCTCGTATGCGCCTCTCGGAGTAGCTCTCGGAGGTATGCGCTCTCGTACGCGCTCTCGGAGGTACGCGCTCTCGGAGGTACGCGCTCTCGGAGGTAATGCGCTCTCGGAGGTATGCGCTCTCGGTATGCGCTCGGAGGTATGCGCTCTCGGAGGAGGCTCTATGCGCTCTCGGAGGTATGCGCTCTCGGAGGTCGCTCTCGGAGGTACGCGCTCTCGGAGGTACGGCTCTCTGTATATGCGCGGAGGTATGCGCTCTCGGAGGTATGCTGCTATATTTCAGATCGTTTTATACCGGGGACTGTCTGTGGTGTTAATGGTTGTAGTAATTCTAGTGGTATCGTTGATGTTTTAGTTAATGTGGGTCGTGGAGTTATCATATTATTAATACAACTATGTAGGTGTGGTTTATATAGTTCTTTCTTTCACTTTTTCTTCTTCTTCTCCTCCTTTCTTCTCTTCATCATCTTCTTTTTCTTCTTCTCCTCCTTCTCTGTCGACTTCTTGTTATTCTTCTTCTCCTCCTCCTTTTTTCTTCATAATCTTCTCTTTCTTCTTCCTCGTCTTCTTCTCTTTCTTCTTATTATTATTCTTTCTTTTCTTCTTTTTCTTCTCTCTTTTCTTCTTTCACATCATCATCTTTTTCTTTCTTCTCTTTCTTCTCTTTTTCCTCTTTCTTCTTCTTTTTCTTCTATCATTTCTTCATTTCTTTTATGTTTTTTTTTTCTTACATTTCATCTTCTTACTCCTCCTCCCTCTCCTTCCTTCCTTCCTCCCTTCTCCCTCCTCCTCCTCTCCTCCCTCCCCCCTCCCTCCTCTCCTCCCACTCCCTTCCTCATCTTCCCTCCCTTCCTCCTCCTCCCTCTTCCTCTTCCTCCACCTCCTCCTCCTCCCTCCTCCTTCTTCCTTCCTCCTCCTCCTCCTCCTTCTTCCTCCTTTCCCTCCTCCCTCCTCCTCCCCTCCTTCCTTCCTCCTCATCTCTTCTCTTTCTCTTCCTCCTCCTCCTCCTCCTCCTCCTCTTCCTCCTCCCCCTTCTCCTCCCTCTTCCTCCCGCCTCCACCTCCTGCCTTCTCCTCCTCTTCCTCTTCCTCCTCCCGCCTTCCCCTCCTCCCTTCTCCTCCTCCTCTCCTCCCTCTTCTTCCCTCCTCCTTCTTCTTCTTCTTCCTCCTCCTCCTCCACCTCTCTCTCTCCTCCTTCTCCTCCACCTCTCTCTACTCCACCTCCTCCTCCACCTCCTCTCCTCCTCCCCTCCTCCCTCCTCCTCCCCCTCCCTCTCCTCCCTCTCCTCCCTCCCTCTCCTCCTTCCTCCCTCCCTCCTCCCTCTCCCTCTCCCTCTCCTCCCCTCCTCCTTTTCTCCTCCCCCTCTCTCTCCTCCTCTTTCCCTCCCTCTCCTCTTCGTCTACCCCCTCCTCCTCCCCCTCTTTCTTCTCCTACTCCTATTCCTCTTACTCCTCCTTCCCCCACCCGTCCTCCTCTCCTTCCTCCACCTTCCTCCTCCCTCCTCTTCCTCCACCTTCCCTCCTCTCTTCTTCCTCCTCCTCCTGCTCTTCCTTCCTCCTCCCTCTTCCTTCCTCCTCTCCTCCTCTTCCTTCCTTCCTTCCTCCCTCCCTCTCTCCCTCCTTGCTCCTCTCCTCCTCCTCCTCCTCCTCCTCCTCCACCTCTTTTTTTGCCGGGATTACATTCGATGTGAAATCTCTGTTATCGCCCTTAATCCCGGGGGTCAGGACAATAAAAAAAAATATTGGAACGTCAGATTAACCCTGCATTAAATCTATTTCAGGGAGGCATCATTGGCATTAACCAACCGGAAACGAATGTAAGAAAGAAAACAGAAATACATACATATATATATAACGATATGAGAGGGAGCACGATGATAAAGAGGATGATTGTATATAAGGTCGAGAACGGATCGGTAATACACAGAATGTCGACCCTTACAGCTTATGGGTCTGAAGCCAGTTGTGGGCAAGGGAAGCAGTCATTTCCTGCGGATGTCTACAGCACATCAGCGTTGGTGGGAAAGCAATGTCTTTTTAATTCGTGACCCGATTGGCGGGAAAATAAACCGACAGCTGTCTGGTCTCTGTACCCTTGTGCGCCTCTTATCAAGCATTTGAAGTACCTCTCTCTCTCTCAATATTCTCTCTGTACATGTTTATCTGCTTCTCTATCTGTCTGTATCTATCTGTATATGCATCTTTCTCTCTTTCTTAGGTTATATTTAAGTTTTTTTTTTTATGTGTCTGTATATATTTTTTTCTCATTATTATTATGCGTATGCTTGCGTGCGTGACCAGAATGAGAGATAAAGAGAAAGAAGAGTAGATAACTAGATATACTTTACAATACAACCATGAAACCAATGGTAGTCACTAAAAACATGATGCGGTAATGGTAGTTGAAATAGGGCATGGTGGTCCGTAGAATTTAAGGGACAAAATTATTGAAACTTTAGAAATGAAGTTGTTAAACAATGTAGCATTCATATTTTTTCGAATGCGTTACAAAGAATATTCCCAAGATAATTTTTTGAACAGTGACTCCTTTCGTGCAGACGTAACCCAAAAACGTTTAGTTTCTGAGAACGCCATAACTGAGTATCCACAGGGTTCAGTGAATTCCATTTGGCAATCCTTGGCGGTGCTTTCGCTAAGTCAGTCTTCTCTCTACAATCCCTTAGTTAGTTTCCTCGCTTGAACAACCACTGATCATCCATTTTGCTTTTCTCGTTAAGGATTCACGGGAAACTGAACTCTAGCCTCTTTGCGAAAGGGTCATAAGGAAGAGTTTCCCATGCACAGAAACGTAGGCGGTTGAGTGAAATCTAATAACCACAAAGAAAATGTGGGGAAAGTAGTTCTACTTTCTGTCTTATGTTCCTCGACCTAAAGGCCAGAATCCTTTGTTTAAGCTGTTGTATGGTTCACAATGGAGACATTAGACCTAAGCTCTCTCATACTGAATCTGCGAATATATTAAGATATTCTGCGTAAACAAGCGACCACAATACGACATTAAATTAGTCGTTGTGTATGTTGTTTCGTTCTCCACTTCCTCTTCCTTCTCCTCCTTCTCTTCCTCCTCCTCCTCCCCATCCTCCTTGTCTTCCTCTTCCTCCTCGTCCTCCCCATCCTCCTTCTCTTCATCTTCCTCCTCCTCCTCCCCATCCTCCTTCTCTTCCTCTTCCTCCTCGTCCTCCCCATCCTCCTCCTCTTCCTTTTCCTCCTCCTCCATCTCTTCCTCCATCTCCCCGCCCTCTCTTCTCCTCCTCCCTTTCCTGCTCCTCGTCCTCCCTTTCTCGCCCTCCATCCTCCTTCTCTTCCTCTTCCTCCTCCCTATCCTCCTTCCTCTTCCCTCCTCCCTATCCTCCTTCTCTTCCTCCTCCTCCCTATCCTCCTTCTCTTCCTCCTCCTCCTCCCTATCCCCCTTCTCCTCCTCCCTATCCTCCTTCTCTTCCTCTTCCTCCTCCTCCTCCCCATCCTCCTTCTCTTCCTCTTCCTCCTCGTCCTCCCCATCTTCCTTCTCTTCCTCCTCCTCCATCTCCCCCTCCCTCTCCCTCTCCTTCTCCCCCTCCCTTTCCTGCTCCTCGTCTCCTCCCATCCTCCTTCTCTTCCTCCTCTTCTTCCTCCTCCTCCTCCTCTTCCTCCTCCCTCTCCCTCTCCCTCTCCCTCTCATTCTCCCCCTCCCTTTCCTGATCCTCGTCCTCCCCATCCTCCTCCTCCTCTTCCTCCTACTTTAATAATGAAATGTTTATTAATTCAATGTCTTTTTCTCTCTCTCTTTTTACTGGCCAGGATCTCACGTACCAAGAAGTGACAGAGGAGTGGGCTTACACGCTCATACCTCTCATGTGTGACATAGGTAAGTGTCAGTGAGTGTCCATTTTTTCTTCTGATATGAAATGAAAAAATCTGCACGGTCGCACAAGCTCGTGTATATGCACATATATACCAACGCATGAAATATACTGTATACACTAAGAAATGTTTATGAAATACATAAAATATACTGTATACATATGGCGCGTACAGTAGAGTGCGTATATAAACAATGTTATTTATTTTTGTTTCCTTCAGGCGGCGTGCTGGGGTTACTGCTGGGAGCAAGTGTGTTGACATTCATTGAGGTGCTGCAGTGTGTTCTGGCCTGCTGTTCCCGGGGCTGCGCTAATGCCAGGCAGGGGAGTGTCACATCCCTTTCGCCTCACTAGCCAGCGTTGCTTTCTGCAGGCAGTTCCTCTCTCTCTCTCTATCTATCTATATATATTTATATTTATACTTATATTTTTTTTTCTTTTTTTTTTCTTTCTTTCATTTTTTTATGTGTGCGCGTGTGCGCGCGCGTACGTGTACGTGTACGAGTGTTTACGTGCGCGTGTGTGTACGTGCGCGGTGCAGCTGTGTAGCGTTCTCGTATCTTGCTGACTCGCGCTCAGATCCGGGACTGCCAGTGGATGGTAACCCCGGCCACTCCTCGCACACTAAGGGTAATTTAGAAGCAGAAATAAAAAGACCAAGTAACCATTGTAACAAATGGATTGAATTAAATTTTTAAACTCCTCTCTTCCTCTTCCTGTCCCTCCCTCCTTCCTTCCCTCTATCTCTCCCCCTTCCTTTCCCTCCTTTCTACTATCTCTCTCCCTCCCTCCCTCCTTCCCTCTATCTCTCCCCCTTCCTTTCCCTCCTTTCTACTATCTCTCACCCTCCCTCCCTCTCCTCTTCCTCTCCTCCTCTTTCCTCCTTCTTCCTCTCTCTCCTCTCCTTCTCCTTCTCCTTCTCCTTCTCCTTCTCCTTCTCCTTCTCCTCCTTCTCCTTCTCCTTCTCCTTCTCCTTCTCCTTCTCCTTCTCCTCTCCTCTCCTTCTCCTCTCTCCTCTCCCTCTCCTCTCTCTCATTTCCTCTGTCATTTTCTCTCCCACTCTCTGCCTGTTTCAGGTAATGCTAAACTACGTCGCACGATTTCCAACATAGCAAGAGCCACTAGCTAATGCGTCGTTTCTCGTTCCGGTATAACAACAAACCATATCTTAAATTTCCTAGACATAAGTGCAGTAGGGGAAAGGTAGATACTTATCATACGCCCAAACACATGCACACGAACACATTAATATATTGGAGGTGGGTAGAGACAGACACAAACAGAGGGGGGGGGGAGAGAACGTATCGACAAGGACTGGTGAGGTAAAACCAACACCTACATAGCTACAAATGCGCAGTGGACGTCGCGTAAGCCACGGCCACTAAAGTACTGCCGCACCCAGCTCCTTCCTGAGACTCTGCAGACAGCTAAGCAAGATCTATCAACGGAGGCACAAAATTATTGCCATACACTCTTGCAGTCTTGCAACACACCACCACAGCCAAAACACTGCCAGACGTCTGTACAACTGAGCTCACGCCACGCATCTGCATAACCGCAAAACTTTTCACGCCTCGCATAACTACAGCCGCAGCGACGTCGCATTCGTCGCCCGCCGTCACAGCTGCAATACCACGTATCACAGCGTCAACCGCCACAGCCTTCACGCTCTAACGTAAAAATATAATCGTCGGGGTGAACTGAACCACTACCTGGTGGCTGGATCTTCCGAGGATCTGTTAGAAGCCTTTGGTCTGGCAAACCACGTGGATTTCCGACGTACACATCAGATTCATCACTTAATCCCATCATTACTGACCTCCCTGGTGGTATGATAACGTATAGTGAAAGAAAATAGTGAGGGAAAAGGAAAGGAACAGAAGGAGATAGGAATAGGGAAAGGGAGAGAGAGACAGGGAGGGATAAAGAAAGAGGATTACACACTGCCTTACGATCTTGCCGCAAGACCCACAAGGGCCTTGACGGCATTCACTACCTTATGCTCAAACACCTCCCATCCTCCTCTTTATCCTTTCTCTTAAATATTTATTATCAAATTTGGGTGTCAGGAAATTTCTCCCCTCACTGAAACTGTATCCGATTTATTGGGTTTTAAGAAAGGAAGAACGAAGACTTCCCTCGTTCTTCCTTTCTTAAAACCCAATAAATCGGGTACCCACCCACAAGACTACCGCCCCATCACTCTAACAAGCTACTTATGCAAGCTCCAAGGGCGAATGGTAAACTCACGCCTAATGTGGTACCTGGAATCAAATAACCTCTCTTCACAATTTGGATTTCATCGTACCAAAAGCACAGCAGACCCCTGGCTCATTTTGAAACCTACATAACATCTGCATTTGCACACCATGAATCCATCATAGCTACATTCTTCGACCTAGAGAGAACATGACACCACATGGCGATGTCATATCCTAAAACAACTATCCTTTCTAGGAATACGAGGAAACATGGGGGCCTTTATATAATCCTCCCTGTCCAGTCGCACTTTTAAAGTCAAAATTGCCTTCAGATCGAAGGCGTCCCACAAGGTAGTGTTCTCAGCACTACCTTATTCCTTACAATTGTGAACAATATTATATCAGTATTACCACCAGGGACCAGATCATCACTATACGTTGATGACTTAATCATTTATGCTTCCGGTTCATCCATACACAATCTCCAACAACTTCAGTTAGCAATATCATCAGCATCTTCCTGGGCCACTAATCATGGCTATCGTTTCTCCATCACTAAATCCTTTTCGATCCTATTCTCACGTATACGTGCAAAACCCCAACCTCCTCTCTTCTTATACAGCACTCCACTTCAATACCGCCCTTCGGGAAAGTTCCTTTGAGTAATTTTTGACTCTAAACTATCCTGGCGAGACCATATTCTTTCCATTAAAGAAAAAGCTCAGCGTCACCTTAGAATCCTATAAACTCTGTCCCACATACCATGGGGATCAGACCGTAAAACTCTCCTCTACCTTCACACAACCTTGATCCTTTCCACTCTAGATTATGGATGCCTCTACCACACTTCTTAATCATCTAGATCCACACCTATCCTCCCTTCACCGACCTCTCAACATATCAGACATCCTTACAGAATCCCACAGCTTTTGCCTCGACAACCTGGTCTCCTTCTTCAGACGCATAAATATCCTTCACTTGATCTAACTCCCTTACCTAAACCACCATAATCTTTTCCCTCATCTTCAACCTTTCAACACTATTCTAGATAGTTGACCCATAGCAACTATCACCTGACATCCCCCTTTACTATACCTTCCTATAGTGCTATATGACCTTAGATGTTTAGCACATTTATCTTAACCATTAATCATCTAGATACAATTCACCATTGTGGTCTCCGATTAGCATTAGCATTCTGCTTCTCCCCAGTTGAGAGCCTGTACGCTGAATCAGGCATACCATCTCTCTCTCGACGCCGCTTACACCAAAACTCCCTCACCAAATTAACTATCCATCAATCTCTTCCCCCCCAATCCCTTGCCCGTTGTTGTCGTGGGGGGGCTTAGGAGACGAAGACTGAGACCCAATACAGGGATCTCCCCTGCCTAGGGCCTCAGCCCTCGACTCAACTAATTTTGCATGGTCTTTTTTTTCTCCAGCTTTTGTTTCCATCTCTTCTCCATCCCCTTCTTCTATCTACTTCCTAAGGTGTGAGAGCCGTGCTGAGAGGATGAAAGGCCGACCTAGTGCCAGTCCTGAACGGCCTGCGGGAACTATGGGCACGGTACTCCTGACTAATCTAGCCCTTACCTTCAGTAGCGAAAGGAGGTGGACCGAATAGGCCTATTTACATAATCCAGGTTCCCCATGACCAGTAATGAGAATGTAATCCCTTTATTAGAGGCTATGAGGCTAGCCCCTTTATCAAATAGCCCCAACCCAGGCTCTCCTTTGACCACGGCTCCGAACACTGAAACTACTGCCCACTCCTCAATGCCTACTAGTGCATTACCCACCCAAGCAGAGAATCAATCTCCAGAAGACATTCCTACCCACCCAACTTCTCAAATTCAACTCCACCCCTGCAACCTTCATCAAACAACCAATCCTCCCTTATTACTACCTTGCAACCTTATTCTCCATCATTCCGTAATACTCCCTCTTCCACACGTCCCCGACTATCCACCACCACCAACCCTACAGATATCTTAAATACTCTGTTTAGCCCAGCTAAATGGGACCGATTTTTCGTGATCCCTGCTACAGCTCCTTACTCAGGCAACACTCTTCTCTTTCAACAACGCCTCCAAAACAAGTAGGTAGAGTCCCTTTCTATACCAGACGCGATCGCTCCCGTCTGGTAACAGTCAGATCAGAAACTGAATCTATAGCACTGTCAAATTTAACTGATCATTCTGGCAACCCCATTCCTGCAGAACCTCATCCAACCCCTTAATGCCTGCACCGGAACTGTCTCTCTCTCCCCAGCAAACTGCCCAGTCGATACCAAAGATTGGTCAGACTGTGGAGAAGACTTATTAGGATGCCTCAAAGACCAAGATGTGAAATCAGTACATTGCTACACCATTCCTCCTAAAGGTCAACGAAAGAATCCAACCAATATTGCCAAAATTACTTCTGTACACATGACCTTCCCTTGCGTATCTACATTGGTGACAATCCCTCCTGTTCGACCATACCAACCCCCTCCACGTCAATGTCAAAACTGTTGGCGCTTTGGACATCCTGCCAAACATTGCCGTTCCACAGACCGATGCCCCATATGTGCCCAACCTGGTCATAATCGATCAAACTGCTCCGCACAAACACGAACATGTGCTAACTGCGCGGCCCCCATAATGTATTTTTATAGGCTGTCCCACTTACAAATTTGAATCTGAGAAGCAACTCTCAGATACAAAAATGGTCTCACTTTACGTGAAGCCAGACAGGAAGCACGTCGACAAGGTTTCTCTCATACTCCATATTCTAGCAACATCGTCCGCTCAGCCCTTCCCCCTCCACCCAAAAATGTCCCCATTTCCACTTCTACATTCTACATCCCTCAGACCAAATTCTTTGCCACTCTAAACCCAGACACTCCAATCTCAACCCACAGCTCCTATCTCAACTACAGCCCCAACACCAACCCCTCTCCCTCCCCGCACTACCCGCAGTAGACAGACTAAACGTTCTAACCCTTCTTCCCCCTACAGCACAATCACCTCCACCTACCTATACCTTTGTTCCTGAGACACCAGTCTCCTCTTCCCCCCCTCATAAGAAAACCTTTATTCACCAAAACTCTCCAACCAATTCCATTGCAGAAACAATTACCTTCTCAACAACTCTCCAACAAACTCCACTGCAGAAAACAATGGATGACATTCAAAGCTATATGCTTGAGACACAAAATCCCATAACTCATGCTCCTTCCACACTTGAAGTGGTTGCCGATATTCATAACCCTCCTACTAATATTCCCCCTACACCCCTTCCTCCTACTCCCTCCCAACACAACCTAACCCCCTCAATCCCAACCACCACTGATATCCATCCTCCCAATACCCATCCTCCTGATATGCATCCCCCTCTTGCTCACAGCACCCCTACACCCTTTCCTCCTAATCCCTCCCAAGACAAACACATCCCCTTCAACTCCAACTATCCATCCTTCTGATATTCATCCTCCTAACACTAACACTTCCCACAC